TGGTCCAAACGCTTCGTAAAGTAGACCCGTTGGTCTTAGCGCATCGTAACATAGACCCGTTGGCCTAAGCGCTTCGTAAGGTAGACCCTTTGGTCTTAGCGCATCGTAACATAGACCCGTTGGCCTAAGCGCTTCGTAAAGTAGACCCGTTGGTCTTAAAAATTCGTGAAGCAGATCCTCTGGCCTGGTATAAGGTATCAGTTGCTGGCCTGCGATTGCTTCCGTCTGTTCGTAACGTCACTTCAGCAGTGGTAGCTAGTCCGTTGACTACTTCCATCTACTCGTCATCCCTTTGCCGAAAGGAAGCTTTCGTAATAACCTTAAAAATATCAACGTTAGATATAAATCACCAAAATTGGCGTACGTAAGGGAGCACTACTTCGTGTTAGCAGGTACTTATGAATGTTGCCACTGTGACAACAAAACATCGTCAATGTTGTAATGATGAACTTTCTATCATATCTTAAATCATCATGCTTGTTTCTGCGAAAACGTTACCTTCTTATGTTAGAGAAACCATCATATGAACGTACTAACATCTTAGGCATTACGTAATTTAAGACAAATTGTATTTATGAAACTTCCTCCGTAGCAATATTACGTTTCTTTTGTTTGATTTCTGCGTATTAATATAACGTTGCTTTTGTTTGATTTCAAATTTAAACAATATTGGTGTTTAAACTTTACGAATTGATATTTTAAAAGGTGACAATAGTACATTTATTAATAAAAGCTTGTCTCATTTAAATGGTATTGCCTATAATGAATATTCACGTTGGAGTGGAAATATTTGAAAATTAGAGAAATCGAGTGAAACCATATTATTCCTTATTTCTGAATTTCAAGACATAATTTTGAGAACTAACGAAAAAGCATCGTAAAACAAAGTCGACGCATGGCTCGATACTTTACATAAACTGGAGTTAAAATCAGTGCCGTTTCATTTAAGCTGTAATAATATATCGAATCCAATTGATTAAAGATAATAACGAATTCGGCAAACATAAAACGAATGACAACTATGCAAACAAAGCACAGAAATGCTAATATAACAAACTTCTGCAATTCATCAGCAACTAATGAATTAAATTCAAAAATAAATCAACTACAAGACCGTTTTCTTCTGTCTCTATCTCTTATGATTGCAATTCAAAATGATTACATAACTATCAAATACCTAAATAAAATGGTGATCATATGTGACACGCTGATCGACTCAAGTCTACTTGTACTGAAGCATTGCATTCGTAAATCCAGTGACACTTCATCTTATCGAGCCCGAAGAATTCCTAGCTATTTCATCACTCACCACCATGTAGTGCTAACGATAAAGCTTGGTCTGTTATCGCAGCTAAATATCTTTAATTTTAGGGCCTCTAATGATTAAGTTATCACTTTTCCCTTAATTTTATAATATGTTTGGTTGAAAATACAGAGAAATGTGGAAGGACATTCAAGGCTAACAATATTCTTACAGTAAGTACCCAGTACATACTTAATGTTAGTACCTTCGATCAAGTACTCCTTCAAAATAAATTTTCTGCGCTAGGTTTTCATTCAAAAAGGCAAGTACTTTCCTGTCATTTCGTTTTGTTGATAAATTAACTTAAGAGGAATCGAAACCTTCCACTCGCAATAAGGTGATTTTCTCTGCTGTCAGGAAAACTTAAAACAACGTTGTGACAACAGAAGAAAGCGTAGTGTCCTTTGTGACACCGTAAAAGCAGGTATTTCATTAAAATCATCATAAATTCGTAACATGATTTCTTACCAGAGTTGACACAAATTACTCTGAGACAACTACTTGTACGTACAGACTTCAAACGTAAAATACAAATTTTTGAGAACCACAAACTCAACAATAGCACAATTTTGGTCGTTAATTCAATTCCGACCAGCATATACAAATAATGCCGTTTGTTCAAGATCGTGAACATGTCTATTTACAAATAATCCATCAATAGATTAAGATCGTAAACGTATTTCTTCAAAAATAATCGTATTTTATTAAATTGTTAACGTATCTCTTCAAACCCAACTAGATGCAACGTTATTTACGTACGTACGACTATGAACAACATATCGTTTACAAACGTACCTAACACTTGTGATCCTCTCTATTACGTAACGTTATTACTGAACGTCTAGTAAAATAGAACTACTCAAACTGTAAACAATTAAACGTACTTACATTTTAGCGTAATACTTACATCCATCACGTAGAAAATTATTACCATAGGAAGACTTACACAGGTTCGTTGCAATAATTACAAATACTTATGAATTGTCACCAGTCAAGCATCCGTTTACTCGTAGTCAGCTGGCGAGAAATCAACCTCCCAATAAATTGTAAGCAAGCCATCTTCTCGCGCCCTGATGAGATTGTTTATATGGCCACATTCTCGGAGTTTCGTTAACTAGTTGTTCGTTTTTCATATTTAATTCGACAATAACGTAAAAGTGAACATTGTCGATACCATCGTCGTCAGATTTTCCTACAGTGTGAGCTTCGTCCACAAGGGTGTTCACATTTCCATGGTTTTTGTGTGACATTGGATGGCCGTAATTTTCACATAATAACAACACAACAACACATTTAAACGTCGCAGAAATGCGCACGTCGGATTTTGTTATCCCACTTCTGATTCTAAAAAAAAAAATTAAAACCTTCTTTTAATATTTTATTTAAATAAAGGGTGACTGCGTTACAAGTACGACGTAGGTACGTCAAGAACTCTACATAAGTGCCATGTATCGTGCGTCATCATCTTCTGTCATGCGCATCCCTGCGCCCTTTGCGTATTCTCGACCCTTATCGAGATGCCAAGGTTAAATGGTGTCAGAATTATTCTTACACTAGTCACCACAGTTTAATAAAATGTTTCCCTCTATATTTTTGTGTTGTCACTTTTCCACCTTTGCGGTTTAGCACTTTGTATTAGAATGCATTCCGCCACTTCAAAACCCAACGTAGGGTTCCATTTTGTTAACGATCACCGTTCACGGCCACTTTTCAAATTTTTCGCGAGTTGTCGAAGTTTGGACGCATGTGTTTCAATAGAAAATTGCAAAGACAATACGATGCAAGAAACATTTATACATACTAACCCTGTATTGTTTTGTATATTCCTCGTCATCCCGTAAAAAGACTTTGGACCCCACTGATGATGTACTGATATAAATCCAATACTTATTCAATGTGAAATAGATAACCTGTTACTTTTTTTTATCACACAGTCTAGTCTCTAATAAAGTTTTGGTGTTGTTAATAACAGAGTTAGTAAAGTAGGAGTGTTAGAAAAGTTCGAATTCAAATTTTTGAAATATCTCACAATTGTCACAAACATTTCGTTTTGGTGAATTTGGACAATAGTGCAGCGCAAATACTCTTCACACTCCTTGACTAATAAAAGACTATCCCCAACTGGCTGTCGTCGTCATTTTATTAGTCTGGGTAAGAAGGGATGATCGCTATAAAAGACCTCTTAGGGTAGAATTGTGTTTGCATCCGGTGACACAATTATACAAATTTCATTCGAGATACACCCACATAAAACTTTATGACAGACAATGAGTGAAACCCCTGCACAATGGCAACAGTAATTTATTGGTTTTAACACCCTATCCGACCAGATATCGGCACGTTCCAGCAGAATTTTTCAGGACCGTACTGTGTTAAAAAAATAAGGTGAAATAAAAGACAAATTGTATTAGTTAAATAATATTTATAAGATTATAAGTCACTTTCAGACTCAGATGAGTCGTTATTTATTGAAATTATAATTTCGTTAAGCCGTGTATTTACAAATGTTGATTCAACTTTTATAACATGCCGAATACAATTCTGCCATTTTTCAGAAGATATGAGTTCTGATTGTTGTCTAATGAGATTTACTACAGCGGGAGAACTTTCTGGACGATTATTATATTTTTTAATATTATATCTATAACATTACCGAAAGCAGGTAAAACTTTCAACTCAACCCGAATACGGCTCTGTATAAAATGACCTGTCAAGCCCTTTTCATAATTTATGGTTGCGGTTTCAGGAGCACCGATTTTTGAGTGATTGGTTCCATAAAAATTTATGTGGGTGTATCTCGAATACGGTAACTATACTGCTACTTGCATTCTGTGACGCAGCTCCAACCACCACTTCGCTACAACAAGAAGAGAGAACGATGCTTATACTAAAAACGTTTGATTTGTAAACCATAAAATTTTACAATATCATTACGAGGGGTTGGCTAAACTGTTCACCCACCGCCTTGGCATGCGTCGCTATTGTTCAACCAGAAGAAGGGTAGCTAAGAACCGCTCGGATTACTGGTCTTCTAGTTGTCCGGTTTTAAAATTGCAATTTATTGTGGTGTATGAACAGCTGTGAAGTTAACTGCCTTAAATACCATCATAAAATTTTATTGTATACAAAATAAACGTTGTCACTGTACTTTCCGTGATATGGGTCCAATAACTAGCCCTTGGTGTCTCTGCAGTAAGAGAGATTTGTCTCTATTTCTGAGATGTGTTAAATATACTTGTAAATAATAGCAACAAAGGAAACTCTATTGGTAATTTTGGACGGTACTCAGAAAGGTCAAAACTTTCACACGCGATTTTGTCGCGTGCTGAATCGAAGAACATGGAGTCCTAGACTAAAAAGATTCTAGGTGACTGTCGCAAGCCCCTGGACAGTAATTTTATTAATGTCGCCTAAAAAGTGAGCATTTTTTTGTAAAAAATAATTTGTTTAAAATTTTTGTTCTATAATAAAGCACGTAAAAACCGATTTAAACACAAAACTTGTATAATTTCATGTAGGAATGTAACTTTTCATCATGATCACACTTTATCTTCTCGTTTTTGGTCCTCAGTGTTCTAAATGAAATTGTGATGTGAATTCAAACCAGAACTTGTTTTGTACCATTGCTGATGTGCGTGGACAAAAGTGAAGGCCAAATGGGTCGTCTGTATTTGAAATAAGATATAAAAAATATCCATCAGTTCGTTGCATGCTGTTAAGCTTAATCGCGGCCATTGATTCTTGCGTTACGGTTCAAATTCGATTCATAATAAAATAACGTTACCTCTGAGTCCTCTGACACATTGGATGGTAGTTGATTACTCTCTGATCGTTCTCCAGCAACGAGATTAAAGTATTTTAGTGTAATATAGTACAGATTTTTTTGTGTATTGATATGTGTGTTTGCGATTTACTGTGCGGGTTTTCCACACGCGAGTTAGAAACGTGTAGTTTAAAAGTGTGGACAAGGTCATTGTGCAGGTTTTACTTTTGCATTCTTCAATAGGAGTCTGATTTTTGGGGATTACAATCGATTGAAGATTGGCTATTTGCGACAGTGATTGATAATTTCGATAAAATTAAGACAGTGTGTTGAATGAACCGTTATTTTGCATTGCCACTGGAATTTCCACCTCAAACAAAATTCTCGTATAATATCTTGTGGGAAAACCTAATAAACATATCAGCAATAAGAATGACCATCGTAAATAAAATTGTGTAGTCTGTTCGAAGTGTTTGGCTTTTGTTCGGGTTATCATTTTATTAAAGGAAACGTGATTACTGCATTAACTTTATATAAATAGTGCAGAAAACTTACTCAATGTTAATTGCACAAATTTTATGCTTTTAAAATGTATGGTGCTTTCCGGTTTTTCATCAAAATTATTGGTTTGTCTATTTTAGGTAAGTAGATACTTATAACTGTGTAGACCGAAATAGCTTTTGATCTGAATTTGGATTCCCCTTTTGGAAGGTTTTTTTCAATATTTTAAGATATATTCATTTCAAGTGAGAAGCTTTTAGTACTTACCTGGTCCAACTCAAACTATTTATAATAATTTAAGTGAGCAAAATGCTCATCCAAATCCAAATCTGAATCTAACTTTAGCCACATAATGCGCGTCGTTTGTTAAAACGATAAAAACCAAATATTATTAGTTTTAATTTAACTCTATTTTTCTTTTAGTAAGTGATTCTAGTTGTACCTACTGGGTTTCCACCAACTATAGCAGAGTATCCCGTCAAGCTCGCCCCACAAGGTGACTTTATTTTATAAAATCACTGTCGCCATTAAACGAACCAATTACTTTTAGCTGTACTCTTCCACCACATCCAAAATTTGGTCGATGGACTATTTACGAGGTATCATCTCAACAATCCCCGGGAGAATTGGTACCGTCGCGAACTGTTTTAGAAGTGAGTTGCTATAAAAATTATAAACTCGATTCATACGAAACTGTCACCTGCGTTGGTGGACAATGGAAACCTGAAATTGGGAATTGTTTACGTAAGAATTTCCCAATTTGAAGATATATTTTATTGAAAATAATTCTTTAGGCACGTGTCCCACGATCAACAGTACTTCTATTATGACGGTGACTTGCACCCTCAACGAGCAAACGTTAAAATCTTGTGCTGACGCTTTTGACGGGACAGTCGCGAGGTTTCAGTGTGCGCGCTATTTCGAGAATCAGGGCCAGGAAAAAGATCCGTTTCGCTTATGCTCGAACGGAAGATGGGTTGGTAGCTTACCAACTTGTGTTCCACGTAAGTTTGTTAAAATAACGCGCACATGGGTATCACATAAACTAATTTCTAATCTTCATGATTTCTTGAAAGCCAGCAAAACGAGGAAAACCCACCAGTTATTGGCCTCACTAAAAGTTTTATGATGTCACCTCAAAATTATTGCCCAAGTGCTGTTTAAAGTATGCAGAATAATATGCGTCTATACCTGTAGTTTATTAATCCGCACTAACTTTTAACCTTACGCATGTAGGTTGTCAGAAAAGAATTCAAACTGGTATTTTATAATTTAGAAACTCCGAAATTGACTGCTCTGAAATTTTGAATAAGATTTAAGTTTGTCATAAATATGGTAACGGCTAATCAAAATTCATCTGTTCATCCCTTGCAAACATTTTTTTCAGGGGATAATTTTAAACCAATTTGTAGGATGTGGTCAACCATTGCTCAGAAAAGAACCCACACTAATTGTTGGTGCAAATGAAACACAAAAACGAGAATATCCTTGGCAGGTCGCATTATATAATGCGTTTGATAAAGAATTACTTTGCGGTGGAACTTTACTAAATCAAAGAGTTATCTTAACAGGTACCTTTTCGCTGTAATAAGATCAATTAGACAAACAATAAATTTTTAGCGGCACACTGTATAACAAATGCCAGTGGCAAGCTGCTACCAAAGGAAGACTACATGGTTGCCGTCGGTAAATACTTTCGCCAATACGATCATCCCGATGACGCTGAAGATGCACAGTTTTCCTCTGTATGTTTAGCTCGATGTGCCAAAAATTTTGATAGATTACAATTTTTGGTCTTTTAGGTGCACGAAATGTATATTCCTCGACAGTACAAGGCTCACATTCAGCATTATTTTGGCGATGTTGGTATTATCGTCACGACGAAAATTTTTGACATTTCTGCTAGTGTTCAACCTATATGTATCATGTGGGAGTCAAAGCGCCATCCGGCGTTGGCAGATCCCAGCAGACAGAAATACGCTTACGTAATCTTTCAAGTTTACGTCAGTTATGGGGACTCAAATCGTGGTTTCTTGTAGGTCAGCGGCTGGGGTTATACTACAGAGTACAGAAATCTTTCCGACGTTCTTAGATATATAAAAGTTCCGCTTATCACCGACGATGATTGTAATCGGGACTTAACCCAAGATCTGATCGAATATCTGACTGATGATAAGTTGTGTGCAGGCTTTTTAAATTCTAGTAATAATAATAATTCTTTGGAATCATAATAATCAATGTTGAAATTTTAGGTATATCTGTATGTAAAGGTGACAGCGGTGGAGGTCTGGTTGCCAAATACAACAAACGTTACTATATTATCGGAATCGTCAGTATTTCACCACAAGGAGAGTCGGCAAATGGTGGCTGTAACAGTCAAACATACACTCTCTACACCAGATTTTCATACTACATTGAAAGCTTCATCCTGGAAAAGGAAGCTCGATTTAGGCCGTGAGTTTTAAAATTTCCTTTAAAAGTCGAGCTGCGATGACCGCTAATGTTGTTGATATTAACATTCGAAAACAGAACGAATATTAACTAGCACAAATAACGTAACGTCTGTTGGTTAAATAATACCGCGACTCCGATGGTGTTAGGCGTTAAACGCGTTCTATCCTGCTGAATGCAGGTACCTTACCCACGCTCCTCTTGTTGACCGTTTCTCTATGTCCATCTCTTTTCCTACAAATAATCGGAGGTGTGCTTAAAATTTTTAAATCAGTCTGATGCCTTTTTAGTCGTCTGGATTGTCGCGATCCTCTTAATTGTGACGATGATATCCAACCAGATACGCCATCTCCACCAACAGAATCAACAACCGAACCTGTCGCAGAACCATCTGGGAGGTAAAGTAGCTTGTCGTAAAAAAATCTTTAGCGACAAAAATGTTAATGTACGTAGACGCTGCACTTTACCCAATCATCCCGAATCTGGAAAGTGGAGTACTCTTGGAACAAATGCTTATAAACCTGGAGCGTCAGTACCATCGGCAACCATTTTAAAACTTGAATGTAACCAACATTTTAAGGCGGACGGTCAAAATTTAATATTTTGTGACAACGATAAGTGGACACCAAAACCTGGTCGATGCTTGAGTATGCCGTCAGATGATCAACGTAGTATTGTTGGGTTTATATTACTTTTGCAGAAACTTGTCCATCGAGAGTAAGTACTCCAACTGTGCAAGTTACATGCGTCTACAGAGACAAAGAAGTTGAAAATTGTACTGAACCACTTGAAGGTACTATTGCTAAAATTCGGTGTGCTCCGTTTTACGAAGATTTACAACTGAAGAGAAGACCCGTACATATTTGTAACGATGGTACGTGGGATCAGCCATTACCTCAGTGTGAACCCGGTAAGTTACTGTTGTACTGGGAACATTTTATTAATCGAAACATCAACATTTCTATGTTGCAAATGCTTTATTATGTGTATTTATTTTGAAAATTGTTTGATTTCAGTTTGTGGCCAAAAAACTATCGAAGCCACCCCGTTAATTGTAGGTGGAAATAATGTGACTAAAGGGGATTACCCGTGGCATGTAGCTTTATACACCAAAAATAATAAGGTGCTTATATGTGGTGGATCACTAATAAGTCAAAGAATCGTGGTCACAGGTATACAGAACTTATCCATTTATTATTTTTTATGTATATATTATTCAATTTCAGCCGCCCATTGCATCGCAAATGAACGCGGAAACGTGCTTGATAAGGAAAACTATGTTATAGCTGTTGGAAAATACTACAATGACTTTGACGACCCCCGAGACCGCTACGAAGCACAATTTTCAGAGGTATGTTGCTGTTTTAAGTTTGAAGAAGGTATTTCTTGTAACGCATTTCATGTTTTTTTTTTTTAGTTGGAAGACATGTTTGTGGCCGAAACTTATAAAGGCGAAATTCAGAACTACTTGGGTGATTTGGCTATATTAGTATCCAAAAAACCCTTTACACTTTCACGAAGAGTTCAGCCTGTGTGCCTTGACGTAGGTCAGAACCATGTTTTAGCTACAAACGAAATGGGCTACGTACGTTAATCATGAGTGTGAAAACTAGTCTACTGTTATTTTTTATTTAGGTGACTGGATGGGGTTTCACTCTTGCAAATTCAACTATTTCAGAGGTTTTGAAAGAATTGAAAGTTCCTTCGGTTTCTACATCAGAATGTCTAAAGAATTTCCCAGAAGACTTCGAAGCTTATGTAACATTTGACAAAATGTGTGCCGGACATTTTGAAAAGGGTAAGTGCAAAATAGTGATTAAATAACGGTATTATGTTAAAAGATTATTCTTATTTTAGGAGAGTCAATATGCAGAGGTGATACTGGTGGAGGGTTAGTATTTAAACATGAAGGTAGATATTATCTTACTGGAGTCGCTAGTTTAAGTCCTATTTCACCCACTGTGGCAGGAGGCTGTGATACTCAAACCTATGCTCTTTACACTAAAGTTTCGACTTATATGAATTTTATTTTGGCAAATTTAGCCAAGTACAAACGCTGAGTTCTACTTCTTACTTTAATAAAGATCTGAAAACTCTCATATCAGGCATACGTTTGATAATAATTTAAAAATTAATATTTCATAAGACTGTACTAGACGTCATTTGCAATTTTTTAAACTTAATTACATATATTTTTATTTAAAAACGACAATTTTTTATTACCTCATACCTATAGATATATCAGCTTTCCCATTATACCCTTGGCTGGTTCATCTATAAACAATTCCAACACAATACCAAAGAAACGTCAGATTTATGTGAACTACAATGGCTTTCAATGATGACGACTCCACTCGGATACAGTTTAATTTACACACAAATTTTTACTGGGTATAGTTCAGGACACAAACGTATGAGTGTAGAAATATTATGAAATTAATTCGATTTGCTTCGAAAAAAAGCCCAGAATTATTTACCATTGTATCTTCGGTCACGGAAATGTTCTTGAAACTCGAAGTCTCTACGGTGAAGCTTTCCCTAGTCGGAATTTATCAGACGATAGAAATTTCAAGGCCGTTATCTAGCTTCTCCGTGAAAATCGAAGAATTAGTCAACATATGTCGGACTGGAGTCGCCAAAGAACCAACCAAACACTAAATGCTGAACATGAAATTTTAAATACCGTGGAAGAAAAGTCCGGGCATAAGGGTACCGACTAGGGGTTTCCCCAACTGAGTTGGGAGAACTTTAAATGGACAGAGCCTACACCCGAATCGTGCGCAACGCATACAAAATGTAATACCTGACAATTTGACAAAACGGGTAATAAGAGCCACAACAAAAAAAATATTTTCAACAGATGAAGCAATTTCTCAGACATAGTATTTTTAATTTCTACAACACTTATGTTAGGTTAGACGAGAATCCCCACACATTCTGATATGATCTTTATTTCTATGAATGTCAATAATTCAGAATTACCAACACAAAAATTTGCTTCAATCATTAATGGGACGTTTTTTTGTGAGATTTATTCAATGAAAAAAGTTGGATTTATCAGTATTTTTTGCATACCTCTCAAAAACATCCTATACATCTGAAATAGTAATTTACGCAACTAGTTCGGGATAGCCTGCTTCCCGCATGAACGCTTGTTTGAGGCACGACCGAAGGGAGTGCCGCATTTGCGTGAATGCGGGAAGCAGGCTCACGAACGTGTTGTGTACAATATTTTTTGCGACGAATAAACCTTTAAACTGAAGAGATTAACTGTGAGTTATTTATAAACAACGCCATTGACAGCGCCGTCAACACGTCACAATGTTGACACTACCCGAGTATTTTAAGGTTACCATGGCAACGGGAAGTTAAATGCACGTGTGCGGGAAGTTCGACCTCCCGCACTCTGGTGAATGCGCGAAAGCTATCAAAAAAGGTCATGAGTGCAAAAATTACTATTACGGTATCTTATTATTACCTAGAATATTTTGTTTTTCATCAGTGTTCAAGTTGTCAATGGTCACTAGATTTGCTTTACATTTGTTTTACGAAAACTATTGACGTTAAACGTATCATCATTGTGTCACTAATTTTACAACAAACCCCCAAAAAAAAAGATTAACAATAGAAGATTTATCTTTCTCCTATTGGGCAAACAGGCCTAAAGGAAAAATAAGAAGAAATGAAAGATGAAAACTTACCATTAAATTATCTTATGAACTGTTTTATATCACAATTGAAGTGCATGCACGAAAATGAAGGCCAGATGGTATATAAGCATTTGAAAGAACATGTAAAAACCACATATCAGGACCTACCGGTACACAATTAAAATAATACCAGGGCTGTTCTGTAAATTTTAAGTTACAAGAAAACTATGGACATTTCGAAAAAAATAAATAATCACCCTTAACTTAACAGAATACTTACAATATTCATTCTCTGAAGCCATTTAACAAAACAGTCACAAAATTCTGTTTTTGGAATAATGATTTGCATCAGGCATTTTTTTTATGATGGAAAACAAATAGTGATCGCTGGAGGTAAGATATGGATTGTATTGAGGATCAGCTCTTGCTGGATCTCCCTATTCGATTTTCGTTAGACGGCGTTTCGACAGCACCAACATTTTCAGGACATCCAAGTAGAGGAGGTCGTTTAGGTCTAAGTTTATTTTCTAGCGTACATAGTGCACATTTAAATGTACGAAACCAATGGTCAACCCTAGCTAATGAAGGACCATTATTGCTAAAAGTTACCATTAAATTTTGGTGACTCTGATAGAGTATGTCAAATCTGCGTATTTCTAAACAATTCCATAAGGGTTACTGCTCAATATATGACTTATAAAAATAAAAAAATTTCTCCGTACGCTTTAATCAGAACATCTCAAAATTTCAACTGTAAACTGTCAAAAATTGCGCTTTCAGTTAATGCAATTGTTCCTGTTATCAGCAGAAAGGGCCACTGCCAAGAATTAACAGAACAACCCTCGTAGTAAGTACGTGTGAAAACGCCACGGAAATTCTTCAAATCGTACACAAGCCGTCAAAATTAATTAAGTTGGTTTTTCGTTACGATGAGTTCATAAAACTTAACTTTTGACACAGAGTGGTGGTTCTCAAGGTCAGACGCGGACTTCCTTACCCAACAACCTGCTGGTGATGTCATGAACCTGATTGTTTAAGATACCGAGGCATTATTATAAAAAAGACTTATCTATTACTCTTACGACTGTTAGAATGTTTGCGATCATTTTGTGTTCGGGTTTACCATACCCAAGTTAGAAACGTGTATCTTATAGGTGTAGACACCGCCATTCACAGGTTATGTTTTTGCGTTCTGGAGTAACTCTCATTTCAATCCGGTTTTTCAAGGATTTCAATCATTATATTATTGCATTCTAGCTTATGTATGATAGTGAACTGATGTTTTATTGAACCTTAGCGCCAAATGTCAAATCAAAAATCGTTTCTAATTTTAAAAATTATCGTCAACAATAAGTAGGTACGAAAAAAGTGAAAGGTTCTTAACTAATTATATTATTTATTAGAGTCTTAAATAAAAAAAGTTCGACAGAGTGTTGAAATATTAATCGTTACTTTGCGTACTACCGGAATTACCACTTGATTCAATATTCTTGTATATTTTATGGGAAAACCTAATAAACATGTCAGCAATGAGAATCGATGGTCTCCGTAAATAAAATTGCGTACCTACTCTCTTCGGTTTGTTTGTTTTTTATCACGAGTTTTATGCTTTTAAAATGTGTGGTGCTCTCCTGTTTTTCATCAAAGTTTTTAGTTTGTGCATTTTGGGTAAGTAGATACGTTAATCGCGATTAAGTTCTCTAGCTTCAGATCTGGGTTTGGATCCCCTTTTTCTAATGTTCTTTTGTGATTTATGACTTTTAGTTTTTTTTTTTTTTAAATTACGATGTATTCATAGTGAAGCTTTTATTACCTACCTAGTCCACCACAAACTGACCACAACTTATCTAAGTCAGTGAAAAACAAATCTCAATACAAATGTTAATTTAACTTTAGTAATATAATACGTTATTTCTTAAAACAAAGGAAACCAAACCTATCTTGTTTTAAGTTTAAATTATATTTGTATTTTAGTAAGCGATTCCAACTGTACCCAATGGATTACCGCCAACTATACCAGAGTATCGCGCCAAGCTCGTCCCTCCAGGTGACATTATTTTATAAACTCGTGTTATCATTTGAGGAAACCTCTCTTTTAGTTGCACCCTTCCACCGTACCCAGAATTTGGTCGATGGACTATTTACGAAGTTTCATCTCAAAAGCCTCCTGGAGAACTGGTTCCGCCGGGAACAGTTTTAGAAGTGAGTTGCGATACAAATCATAAACTCGATTCCCACGAAATTGTCACCTGCATTCGTGGAGTGTGGAGACCCGAAATTGGGAATTGTTTACGTAAGAATTTCGTAATTAATAATGCCTTGTAGTGACACGAAGTCTTTAGGCACGTGTCCCACGATAAACAGTACTGTTATTATGACGGTGAGTTGCACCTTCAACGAACAAAGGTTAAAATCTTGTGCTGATCCTTTTGACGGAACGATCGCAAGATTTCAGTGTGCTCGCTATTTCGAAAATCAGGGCCAAGAAAAAGATCCCTTTCGCTTATGCTCCAACGGAAAATGGTCTGGTAGCTGGCCGACCTGCGTACCACGTAAGTTTGTAACATCTCTCTGAATAACCGCGTATCCTGTAAGCTAATTTACAATCTTCGTACTTTTTTGAAGGCAAGAACATTGAGAGAAACGCACTGTTTGTAGTTGTCCATGTATTGTTTTTTTTTAGAACATGTTATCCTTTTTACGAGTACAGCTTAAAATTAGTTTTTAAAACGCACCGTTCATAGGATGCTTGAATGCTCAGTTAGTGTGGTGCAGACCAGAAATTTATTTTCGTATTCAGTCTCAATGAAATTGTCAGTTAAATTGTATAATTTATCTAAGAAACGAATTTTTTTCAAATCATTCTGCTTTAGGTGAAAAGGAAGTTCTTTGATGTAACATTAAATCAATTTGTAGGATGCGGCCAACCAGTGCTTAGAAAAGAACCCACACTGATTGTTGGCGGAAATGAAACACAAAAACGCGAGTACCCTTGGCAGGTCGCATTATATAGTGCGTTTAATAAAGAATTACTTTGCGGTGGAACCTTATTAAATCAGAGAGTTGTCCTAACAGGTAGTTTTTCACTGCAGTAAGAAGATAACTTACACAAACAACAAATTTTTAGCGGCACACTGTATAACAGATAATAAAGGCAAACTGCTACCAAAAGAAAACTACGTAGTTGCCGTTGGTAAATATTTTCGCAAATACGATCACCCGGACGATGCTGAAGATGCACAGTTTTCTTCTGTAGATATGTTTAACCCGATATGCAAAACATCATGACAGTTTACAATTTCAGGTGTACGACACCTATATTCCTCGACAGTATAAGGCACAGGTTCAGCATTATTTTGGCGATGTTGGTATTATAGTTACGACGAAAATTTTTGACATTTCTGCCAGCGTTCGACCTATATGTGTTATGTGGGAGTCAAAGCGCCATCAAGTGCTGGCAGATCCTAGCAGACAGAAATATGCTTACGTAATCTTTTAAGTTTGCGTCAGTTTCGGATTTAAAGTCCCGATTTTCTTTGTAGGTTAGCGGCTGGGGTTACACTATAGAACACAAAAATCTTTCTGATGCTCTTAGATACTTAAAAGTCCCGCTTATCACCGACGATGATTGCAACGAAAAATTATCTGAAGACCTCATCGAATACATGACTGACGATAAGTTGTGTGCTGGGTTTTTAAATTCTAGTAAACTTTTGCATTTGTTTGGAACCATAATCGATGTAGAAATTTTAGGCACTTCTGTGTGTAAAGGTGATAGCGGTGGAGGTCTGGTGGCCAAATACAAAGAACGTTATTACATTATCGGAATTGTCAGCATTTCGCCCCAATCAGAATCGGCGTATGGTGGCTGTAACAGTCAAACATATACTCTCTACACCAGGTTTTCATACTACATTGAAAGCTTCATCCTGGAAAAGGAAGCTCGGTTTAGACCGTGAGTGTTATGATGACCTTCTGTTTGTCCCTAATACTCTAGAACAGAACATTTAGCACTGAAGAGTAATCAACAATAAGACGAAAGCTTGTGCACCTCTATAGTAAACATAATTTAAACGTTTTTAACGGCTTATCCTTTTGCATTTGCCATATAGTCATCAGTTTCCGATCAAGTTACCGTGTGTTAAAACGTTAATATTTGCTGTGGTACAATAACATATTGGTACGCGAGAAATGATAAGCAGTCTGATTAGTTCAGTTGGTAGAATACCCAGCTTACCAAATATTAATCTGATTCTTTTAAATTTAGTCGTCTGGACTGTCAAGATCCTCTTAATTGTGATGTCGAAATCCGATCAACTACGCCAACACAACCTACAACAGAAGTTGTTACAGAATCATCTGAGAGGTAAAGAAACCTGGGTGTTAAAAAAAACCCTTTTGTGATAAAAATTTCAATGTTAGTACCCGTTGCACTTTACCTACTCATCCCGAATCTGGAAAATGGAATATCATTGCAGGATCTGTACTTCAATCTGGATCGTCAGTAACAGTGGGGACCGTCTTAAAACTCGAATGTAACAAAGGTTTTAAGATGGATGGTCAAAATTTAATACATTGTGACAAAGATAAGTGGTCATCTGAACCTGGTCGTTGCTTGAGTATGGTGTAAGTTGATCAACTTAGTGTCGTTGTTTTTATTCTATTTTTGCAGAAATTTGTCCACCGAGAGTAAATACTGCAACTATGAAAGTTACATGTATCTACAGGGAGAAAGAAATTGAAAACTGTAATGAACCACTTGAAGGCAGTATCGCTAAATTTCGGTGTGCCCCGTTTTACGAAGATTCACAGTTAAAGAGAAGACCCATTCATATTTGCAACGATGGTACGTGGGACCAGCAACTTCCCCAGTGTGAACCAAGTATGTGAACGGGCCAATGTTGATCAAATAAGTATTGACAACGGTCCCAACTGTTTAAAATGTTGATCGAACTTTTCATTGTTTACACGTTTCGAATGTATTTGAAATTTTTAACACACATAGGATTGTGCTGTTTCCTCTGTTTTTAATTTTTGTATAACTGAACTTATGTTCTATCGTTTTTTGTATTGTCGATATTTTTGGACACGACCTGACATTTGGTTTGTGTCGACGCAATTAAAAATTCAAAACCTAACTTGTTTTGATCTGCTATCAACTTTCAGCATGTCGCCATTGTGTGTTATATATTAATTTCATTTCTACAGGCTCCGTTACCATTCGTCAACTAAAAATATATATTTTGATTGCAGTTTGTGGCCAAAAAACGGTAGAAGCTACTCAGTTAATTGTAGGTGGAACTAATGTGACCAAAGGAGATTACCCGTGGAACGTGGCTTTATACACCAACGATCAGAAGGAATTTATATGTAGTGGTTCACTAATAAGTCAAAGAATCGTGGTTACAGGTACGCACAACATATTAATTTTGTGTCCTGCATATTATATAATTTCAGCTGCCCATTGCATTGCTGACGAAGGCGGAAAAGTACTTGACAAAAACAACTATATCATAGCTGTTGGAAAATACTACAGAAATTATGGTCAGATTGAAGATCCCGAAACACGATTATCACAGGTACGTTGCCGTTTCGAATTCCGAAAAGGTTTTTTCCGTAATATAATTTTCTTAGGTGAAAGCCATGTTTGTTCCCGAAACTTATAAAGGTAGTAGTCAAAACTATATGAGTGATATTGGCATATTAGTGTCTAAAAAAACTTTTACCCTTTCACGAAGAATTCAGCCTGTGTGCTTAGACGTAAGTCAAAATTACAATCTAGCTACAGGCGAAATGGGCTACGTAAGTTAGATAATAATTTTTAATATTAAAACTAATTTATTCTTATTTTTTATCTAGGTGACCGGATGGGGTGACACTAGTAATGAATCCAGTATCGCATCAGCAGTTCTGAAAGAACTAAAAGTGCCTTCGGTTTCTTTATCTGAGTGTAGAACTAATTTACCAGAAGACTTCGAGGTGTATCTTACGTCTGACAAAATGTGTGCTGGATATTTGAGAAAGGGTACGTTCAACACGGCGATTAAATAATAGTAGGCTGAAAGATTATTGTTGCTTCAGGAGAATCAATATGCAGAGGCGATGATGGTGGAGGATTGGTATTTAAACATAATGGCAGATATTATCTTACTGCAGTCACCAGTCTTTCTCCTGCTTCGTTCAGTGATAGGAGGGACTGTAATAGCCAGAACTATGGTCTCTACACTAAAGTTTCAAGTTATTTAAATTCTTTTATTTTGTCAAAGTTAGCTGAATATAACAGCTAAGTTTAAGTGTAATAACGACTAATAAGAGTTCTATCACTTTTTGTGAACAGATCAGCTAGATTCTAATTGGTTTTTATTGTATTATTTGAACTTAGGTATTAAACGAAAATACACATTATTTATACTGAATAATACATATTTTTTATTACTGCAACCTTACATTTAACATTGTATTCCTATTATAGGTACCTTTAAATGCTTCAGCTAAACATTTTAAAAACATAAAAGCCGATAAAGAGGTGATTAGTTTTGAACCAGAATGATCCTTAATAATGACAACCTCGCACTGGTACACAGTTTAAATTACACAAAAATTATTATTGTCGACTCTGATTTTATTAGTACACAAGAGCAAATTTATTAGTGTATTAAGCACGAATCTGACGTTCTCTGTCATTTTTCTTTAAAAAAAAATTGCTGTTACAAAGAAAAATAAAGCAGAGAATTACGAATCTATCTGTTTTTACAATACTGATCTAATCAGAAGTTGTATTAACAGAAATTTGGATTTCTGAAGAACACCCGGTTTGGGAAAATCTAAGTCGATTTTTCTCATTTCACTTCGTATTACCCTTCATTATCGCAGCTACAGTTATAATTCAGCTTCTATTCCTTCATCAAACAGGATTTAACCTATCCCTTAGCGTGGTCCCAGATTTTTTTGATGTTCTTCTTAAACTCGCTGGAATTAGTATACACCCATCCTGTGTAGTAAGTAATTCTAAAAAGTGAAAATAATGAAATTGTTAAGTATATGCAGAAGATTTGAAACAAATTTTAGTCTGTGTTTTTTAATTCCTAGACCAAGTTTAGCATCTCAAGGGGCCTGTTATGTTGGTTCTAGAATAAACCGTAAAACAAGATTTTTGTTGGAGAAAAAGGCACAAACTTAGGACAATACACAAAAAAAAAGAAAAGGAAAAATGAAACGTGAAAACCTAGAAGTAAAAAAAAATGTTGCTTTATCTTCTCTTGTTTTCTTTCTCTGTTAATGTTATATACGAACCTGTTTGTACAACAACTGCTGGGCGGGTACAAAACTGAAGGCCAGATCGTTTGAATTTCTAATAAAATATAAAAACCAAAACGCAGCAGTTACTAACACACAATTACAACATTACGTCTCAAAAACCTGCGGAAATCCTTCCCACATAAGGTGTTAAACGTAATTTAGTCCACTGGTTCATAAGTTACGATTCAGTTTGTAATAACTCGTCTGCTAACATATTTTTGATAGTTCGGAGGAGATAATCTCAGACCGACTTCTCCAAGGACGTCATGAAGCTGAATGTTTCAGATGTTTTTATAGACATATTTTTTCGAATATTGAAATGCGGTATTGTGTGCGGATTTTCCACACGCTTGTTAGAAACGTCTGGTAACGCGTAATATATTTCAGACTAGCTTATTTACGGTAAAGAATTAATATTTCTGTGAATCTTAGTAACAAGTGTCAAAAATCATTTCTAATTTTAAAGATTGTCGTAAACAATAACCCATAAAAACTGACAGGTTGGTTAACTAATTATTTTTGCGTAAGTTTTAACTCGTAAAAGTAAAATATCATGATGTAGAAATTAATCATTACTTTCGACACTACTGGAATTTCCAACTGGATCAAAATTCCTGTACTTATATCTTGTCGGAAAACCTAATAAACTTATCAGCAATAAGAATCGAGGATCTCCATAACTAAAGTTGTGGAGTCCGTTTGGTTGTCTGTTCAGGTGTTACCAATGTAGTTAAAGTTGTTATATAGTTACAGTATTAATTTTACATAATACTTCATCTTTATTGTACAAGTTCTACGATTTTAAAATGAATGGTGTGTGGTGAACCGGAATTTCAACCCTTAAAATAGCCCTACTGTGGCACATAGTATTTTTCCATAACGATTCTACTCTTCATTATCATGGGAACCAAAAGTCCGAACTTCCCAGTATTGTCAATTGAAATAATCTTCAAGGCAAGCGATCGCTTCCCATGGCCCCGCACAGTCACACTTCCTTCCAGGAATATTCGCCAAAATGCATTCCATGCCCAAATATGGAGAACATCTTCGCGCCCAATCAAATCACTCCAATTGCAATTAATATACAAAGTTGCATGGGAAACCTGGGGTCAAAACAAACACTTCCGATCAAGGTCAATAAGTCTGACGAATGCGTTATCATTCTGGGTGGTCCGATGCCAATTAATTATGGGAAATGCACTTTTACAAACACTCGCCGCCGTTTCCGGCGACAAAATTGCGAGAAATGCATTTTTTTGTTACATCTTCTTCGCTATTCCCACGCTTGAAAACCCTATAAAAACGTCTCGATTAGAAATAAAATTCAATTCGATTCCGATTCAGTCTCGCGTGCGGATGGGCCTGCTTCCTAGTCTAATCGTGATACCCAACTTCCGGCCGCTGTGCTAGTGGCAAGTGCGAAAGTGCATCTTCCAAGCCAACTTTCTTCAGCTGTTGCAGTGGCGCTTCGTCCCTTCCGATCTTCCACCGAGCCGCTAACTCGACGACATGTAAGTCCCACTGACCTAGTTACGGCATGCCCTATTCTGTCCTTGCGGAGACCGGGTTATTGGTCATTATCGGCATCTCGGAGTAATTTTAACGCATCATCATTATGAATCTCCCTCATCAAGTGATTGACTTTCCTTATCAAACCAGATTCCTTCTACTGTATTCGAGACCCCCGTGCCGTATCAGAGGAGTTTGCCCTATAGGGCACTGCCCACGTTTTTATCTCATTCACGCGTTCAATCCCGTGAACCAGCACTCCTCCGCCGTCAAGGAATACGTTCCCAACACTGGGAGCCCTATCCTTTAGAAAGGGTTGTAATTATATCACTTAACCCCCCCCCCCCCCCCCCCAAATATCGAGCCATGACCTAGGAAAGCGCCAACAACCCTCCAATTCTCATATATATTATAGTTTTAATAATACGTTAAAAAGGGAACATTGCACAACCCTACCCGTTTCTTTTAACTTAGTTTAATGTTTATGGTTACTGCCCGTTTATTATTATTTCTAATCATGCGCAATATTTTCTTAGTCTTAATTACCTACGAATAAGATGTACGAGCCCTAATCTTGTTCCGTCTCGTTTACTCGTTTAAACTGTAGCATTTGTTTATTAATAGATTACCTATGGAGCGAACCGCTTCGCGTTTCACTTACCCTTCTCGCGTCCCGAAACGGCCCTCACGGGCCAGGACCTAAGGGGCACCATTTTGTGACGCCCACCGGCCATAAAAACTCGGACATCAAAAATTAACATAAATTATAGAAAAGAGCCGGCAGGGCCACCACAAAATTTGGCGCTGCGGACAGGATCAAAATCTTTCTAAATTTCGGGAACAGGATCAAAAATTTTAATTTCGGGGACAGGATCAAAAATTTTAATTTCGGGGACAGGATCAATTTCGGGAACAAGATCAAAATTTTTCAAAATTTCGGGGACAGGATCCAAATTTTTAATTTCGGGGACAGGATAAAAATTTTTAATGTTGGACACAGGATACACAAAAAAAATTGGGAAAAAGAATTATTTTAAATTCCAAAAATTAAGAAATTTTTTTCAAAAGCAGAACAAAATTCAAAATAATGTAAGCAAAAAGGCGGATAACGGAAAATTCAAAAGATGGAATTTTTTTTGAAACACCAATCAGTCTCACATTTCCACAATTCGGTAAAAATAATTGGAAAAATTTCGGGACAAAAGATCGGCATTTTTAGACCTTCCCGTTAGAGAAACGACAAAATTCCAAAAAAAAAAACAGTAATCAGTGAAATTTACGAAATTCTGTAATTCGCAGGAAAAACGGTCAAAATTGTGTTATTCTAAACAGTCAAAATCCATCCAACAATAAAATGCAATAATCCACACTGCAAAAGCTTCAATTGGAATGCACTTATCTTATCGCGAGGCTATTAACCTGAATCAATTGTCTTGCGCGATATCCAAGCGCTCTAATCATAATTACAGCCGGCGCGCTTCGAGAAAGACACGATCTTTCATTTCTTATTTAGAAGGTGGGAACAATATTATCCCTAATTATCCACAATCTCGGCTCCAAAATTTAGTAAACCTGTGCTTAAGAAGGTGAGCATTTTTCCAAATTTAGGCAGACAATTTGAAAAACCAATATTTCACTAAAAACTTAACGTAAAAAATAAAATAAATAAAATAAAATTTTAATTATCACATAATCTATAAAATATGTCATTAGTTAATTTTACACTAACATTGATTACTCGTCAAAATTAGGAGAAAAATTTAAAATATAAACGGAAATTACAAAGTCCGTCCGAAATTGAAACAAAAGATTCAGAAATAATTCTCGGCATTATTTTGTACACATGGCAATACCTAAAATTCAGGACGAAGATTGGAAGTTGCTGCTCTATCTCTTATTAAAATTTTCAAAAAAAAATTGGTATAACTCTCCCTGTCTTCCTGGGAGGTTTTTATCAAGAAACACAAATAAAGAAGCTTGTCATCGCTACAATTTCCCCGATACCTGCCAAAAATAAAAACATTGTAATTTAAACGAAAAAAAAATTTGTAAAACTACATATAACAAGACAAAATATTCTCTAAATTTTAAACCTCGTATTTGGCATAATTGGTAATTTCTGTGAACGAACAAACTCTAATAATAACCGCCTTAAAACGAAAGGAAAAAAAAATGCAAAAGATAATCCAACACCGTTAAAACCATCGCGATTTTTGCGGCAACGACATCACATCCAGCGAAATAGCGGAATGTCAATTTCAGACATAATTTAGCACAAATTACTGAAAACTCTTGTCGAACCATTTTCGTCTGTACAGCCGGCCAGCGGGATGACTAATAAAAATTATTATTGAATTCATTGTTCTTAGACCGGATACGCGATAACTGGTCGCCGATGCACTCCGCTAATTATTATTACACACGTGTGGGCGTAATCTGATAAAACAGTCAACGTCAGCAAGTGGAGAAATTGGTCGCTGCTCAACATGTACAAATTAAAAATTGCAACAACAAAGGACGAACGAAGGTCGTTGAGATGTTAATAAATTCCAGAAATTTTAATTGAAAAAAAAAAATGCCTAACAAAAATTATTTTTAGAAAACTCACTAAGAAATTCCACATTAAAATTACCACAAACAATTAAGTCTTCGAAAACGTTTCACTTTAGAATTAAAACACTTTTTCTCAATAGCATATTTTGTATCAGTTCCTACAATAAATTGTCCTTAATAAATGTTTAAACAACAATCGCCAAAAAAAAAAAAAAAAAATCAAGGAAACTACCAAAAATACTGAATTTCAAGCACAAAAGCATGCAACCAGTAATACAATTAATCCAGATAAAAACCCCGTGTTCCGCGCCAATGGATGGTGCCGGCAGTATTAAATATAAATTATTATTTCACAAAATTTTTCAGCAGGAATACCTTCTAAACCGTAAATTTCTAAAATTTTTATGTTTTCGCCTAGATGGAGTTTACCCTAAACGAGGTTATGGCCGCTTTCAATTATTAAATCGATTCAACTTCATTAGTTTACAAATCCAACGTAATCTCTTAATATGTAGTAAAGTTTCTATTTAACTTAGTCAACAATAAGACCGATTGTCCGTTTTTGTTAAATAAGCTTAATTTTATAGTTCCCCGTATTAATTTAAGACAAATTTTAACGTTTTAGACTTTTCTTTCAAAAATAATATTTTGGATTAATATTAGAATTGTTAACAAAATTTCAATGTTCTGCGACATTAACGTAAATTCACTTCATGTTATAAAAACAGTTATTGTTGCGGGTCCAGGTACATACGTTTTTATTTTTCATCTTTATTTCCATTTTCATTAATTTGTAATTTAGCTATAATATTAGGCTCTTATATATTATGTGGTTGAATTTAAATTTTGTAAGCATATCTGCCACACTTTATTACACAGAGTTAAGTGAGTTTTTCCTGTACTTGGATGATGTATTACTTGTTGGAAAATAAGTTTATTTATTTATTTATTCAAAAATTTAACGTAAAACATACATAATAGATTGTCTAAATCTACCTTCGTGAAAAAAAGAAAACACTTTAGTTACTTATTTTACTTTTCTGAATCGCTCCCAAGCTAATTCATATGGATGGTATTTATTTTTACGCTACTCTAAATCGTTATATCGCAAAGGTCCTGCAAATTCAAAATTGTACATTTTAATACCTAATCAAGTGATAATAAACATTAAGCTAGTACCTTGTATATAATTTTCGGTGAACCAATTTTCAATAAATAGGTTCAATTAGGTTTAATTCGAAAAAAAGAGAAATAGAAAGGGTTGTTGGTCAATAATAATAATTGACTTTGAATATACCGGCACTAATTTACAACAAGAAAATTTTCTTTTCGAAAGCCCTCGTCAAAGTACCCTTGTATATGCCATCAAAATACGCCCTTGACACTTGGAAGATACACGCTTTACAAATTAACAATAAGAACCGAACAAGCTGAACAGAGTGATAACTCTGGGACTTTACTTTCAGAAAAACTTATTAAGAATAAAAAAGAACGTAGTAAAACATCCATAGTAAGCAAGAAAAAAAAAGGAAAACACAATAATGATGAATGATAATATTTCTCCATGCCCCACGGCACCCACGTTGTCACTCGAAGCAGCTTCAAGTTACCCAAGACAAGGACCCGTCCGAACGTTTTTTGCATACATTGAAGATCATGGCCGCCTAGGAGACCAGGTGGAAAAACAAAAAGTCTTAGTAGCCAAACTAAAATTAACGGGGGATGCCAAGCACTACTTAGAATGGAATGAC